TTAAGTAGCTAAATGGGACTGTTGTCTAGTTTGATGTAACAATATCGGTATAACTATGAGAATATCCTTCATTCAGAGGTCAGGGAAAGAGAAAGTTCAGACAGCTTTTCTTTGAGCTGATCATGAAATTTGACATCTGACACTGTTCATGAGTAACAAAGGAAATAATAAATTCAGGTCATGCTTCTCTGTGAGCTGGAACTGTCACCTCTAAGCTTTTTCTCAGGAAAACACATTACCACCTAAGGCTGGGATTTTCAAAGGAGCCTAAGGAGTTAGTGCCCAAATGGGACCAGACCGGCCTACAATTACCTATAATTCCTCAAAACAAAATGTTACTGAAACAGGAATTGAAAGCCTGAGCTGCTGTGCAGGAGTGCCAAAAGTCACAGGCCAAACAGTACTAAAGAAGCTTTTGAGACTAAGAGGTACAATAAGTAGGCAAATAATGTAGTACACTACTAGCCTAAAATAAGATATCCACACTATAGGGGAAATTCAATCTAATCTATGCAACTTAAATTACACAAATAGCGTAACTCAAATCAATGTAGCTTAGATCTACTTACCGCAGGGTCCACTGTACGAGAGGTCGATGGGAGATGCTCTCCCATCGACTCTCCCTACTCTTCTCGATCCCATCGAGTACAGGTGCTGACGGGAGAGCGATCTGCGGTTAATTTAGCGGATCTTCACTAGACCCGCTAAATGGACCGCCGATGCATTGATCGCTGCTCCTCCATCTCCTGGTAAGTGTAGACAAGCCCCTAGAAGCCCAGCTGCAGGAGACGCAGGGCCAGAGGCATCCATACCTGACAGTATGTGTGCCTACCCCACACAGGCACAGAAAGGATTAACCATGCCCTGCCCTCAGAAGGAGCAATGGAGGTAACTGGGGAAGTGGCTAGACAACAGGACTGTAATATGCACCCCTGGAAGCGGGAAACACGTCTGGCAGACGATGTGAAGGGCTGAGATGCAAAGAGGACATTGAGCTTCCGGAAGCTGAGAGGGGCCATAGTGGAAGCAGAAATGGAGTGACAGTGTGCAGACCACTGACAGGGGTGTCTACCTTAAGCTAATCCTCAGAGCGACCAGGAGGAGGCACCAGTTTGGCAGTGAGGACTACACTCTGTGTCACATCCCTTGACCCTGTCCCCTTCCATCCCACCTGAAAACCACACAAAGAGCCTTCTAGGAGATCTAACGAAAACTAGGATGCTGTTGCAGGGGAATCCTATCACTCCTATGTCTAGTTTCTCCTCTATGCAAGGATTTAGAGGGTGTAATTTAGGTCCAGATCATTAAAGCTAAACCCATGGAAAGATGTAACACATTATTAAATATGACCTATTTTAATGAGTTTATTATTTTCCTATCTGGTTTACAGTGTAAAAGGCTTCCGTTTGCTTTTTCTAAGTTTACTGAGGGAAGAAACATAGGAACGCAAGATGATATCCAGTTACAAATGTAGCATGGCAAATATCTAAACGCGGAAGATACACTAGAGCATATTCTGATGTAATTTAACTTAGTTGTTTATAAAGTACTATTTATTATCTCCTTAATAATTACTCTGTTCTATGCACTCAGGAAGTACTGTTGCGTCCCTTGTATTGAGTATATATATTGCTTTTATGAATGTATTTCTTTTTAAGAAGAAATTATCTAAAACCATCTGGCTACTGACAGTAATGTTTGTTTACTGTATGTGTACGTATAGTAGCTTTGTCTATTAGCTGTGAAGGGAAAAATGTTTCCTGAGGCTAACTTAGACACCTTTTTACTCTGTAAGTTAAATCAGCCATTAAATTGGCTGACAGTAGTGACCAGAAGAATCCAAAAGGTTTCTGGAGGCCAAAGGAAAGATTTTGATACAACCCAGTGATTTCATGACTAAATGAAGGGAACTATTCTTTTCCTCAGCTTTTTGATGGTCTAGTGGATTCCCCAAGACTACATTTGCACTGAGTGTGTATGTTATGGACATCTATAATGCAAATCTTATGCTCTATAGTATAATACTGGTAGATGTTAGAATCAAAATATAATGGTTCACATCCCATGTAAAGTAATTTTCTTGCTGTAAAAATTATAATGGTATAGAAAAATAAGTTTACACATAGGCCTAATGCACTTCAAAGAATGAACAATACATATCTGCAAAAATCTCTAGAGCTACCTAATGCTTGACCCATTATATTACAGACTAATTGCCATAGAGCATTCTGGTGAGTCCTCAGAGTCTTATAATATTCCCATCAAAAGGGTTCATTTGAGCCTAAGAATCTGTGAGGCATGTAGTATAGATTGGGATCCTGCTGAACTTGCATTCTTCTAAAGGATAATTTTCACTCTACCTCATTCTTAGTGATATAGATAAGAAGAAGGGGCGCAGAGTTCCTTCCCAGCACAACCTCTAACCCATCAAAATATTTACAACCTTGGGCACGTGGTTAGTCACAATTAATTTGGCTTCTGTGAAAGTTTAAAAAAAAAATCTAATGCGCCGACCATTTTCTCTTATCTTCCCACTGCTGCATTGTACTGAACAGGTACCACTGAACCGTGCTTCATTTGGATAACAGTATAGTTGAAAGAGGGAGCCTGAAACATGAGGCTGGGTATGAGGCCTCAGCCCTGAGCTAAAGTAGTAGTCAGGCCCTGTTGCTACAAAGCAAAATGCACAGTTAGCAAATTCAGGCTGGGAGCAGAAGTCAGGCCTGTTATAAAATATGCCTGCTTGCAAGTTCACAGAACCCGGCAAGAACAGGGATGGTATTGCAAAAACACACACATTCCTGAGAAGTACTAGGCCCAGGACACTCACACAAACACATTCCAAAAGAGTTTACCAGAACACCCCAATACCAAGTACTGTACAAACACTCTCCCCAAAGCTGATACAAAGACAGAGTGACCCCTCTCCAAGATAAGGTTAGGATGACAGGGTGATGAATAGAGAGATTTTGATTGAACCAACATGTACAAGGTAAAGGGTGTTAACTAACCACGTCAGAGGGGCAATACCTAACTTATTTGTATCAGGGTATACAAGAAGGGTCACAGAGGGGGTCTCCGTCTAGCCAAGGGGGGGAATGGAAAGTCCCGCCATTCACTGGTCCATTGTTGTGGGCATACATGTACTAGTGTAACTGTAGACAGTGATCCTGGGAGTGAGGACTTTGCTTAGTCTCCAATAAACCTGGCCGGGTGTCTTCGCTACAAACCAAGTCTTGTGCTCTTTGTGGGTAGTTTGATCAATGTCTGCTGTGTTGGCTATCCGCACAGAGCTGGCACAGCACACAGAAAGAACACATACACGCAGCCAGTGACTAACTACAAACAGTAGCAATATTTGCAACCACCAGTATTCAAAAATGATCAGTCAGCCCCCTCAAAATCACTAAATGACTTAAAGATAACGAAATCTTAAAAAATAGTAAGTGTTGGATTCTCTTGTTCGCCATCTAGTTCTTGAGTCTTTAGTTTCCTTCTTTTAGAGCCTTTGTTCACAACCATGAGGGCTAATAATGTGGGGGGGGGGGTTAAAATAAAAGTTGATATTTTCATGTAATAAAAAGACTCAGCTCCTGGAATCATGTTAAGAAAAACACCAAATATTGTAATACTCATGATAAAAATCACAAGAGTTGGCATGATTAACCAAGGGCATTTTGATCCAGATGGTGCATTGAAGTTTAGAACCTGTAGTCTCTTCAAGTGGTGTAGCTCAATTAGAGAGCCAAGGTGAATGAGACAATGTCTTTTATTGGATCATTTCAGAAGTAGGTCCAATAAAAGATATTACCTCAAACACCGTGGCTCTCTAATATCTTAGGCCCAACACAGCTGCAACACTGCATAGCTCAGTTAGAAGTGTGACTGTCTTTAGTCCACATTATAAAGGTCAGGATCGAAACCCACTGCTAACCAAATGCATAATGAGGCTATTTTCAAAACGTTTGGACCTAAATTGCAGCAGCAATATATGAACGTACACAGGAACTGCAAACACAATGTAAGCATATGGGGTTTGTACACATTACTTGGGTGAATGTGTCTATGTAATTGTGTGTTCAGTACCCGTACGTATGAACATATGATTACCTGGGTGTAGATGTATGGGTACTGAACACAATTACACAGACACATGCACAAGGAGATTGCACACACAATTACCCAGGTGCAGAGTGATTACATGTAGGATTAGTGAGGTGCACAGAAAGAGGGACCCTATGTAATTACATGGAATTACACACACACATTACTGGGATACACAAACTCAACATACACTCACCAGGGTGCAAATTTGCTCACTGGACTTACACACATGTTTATGTTGGGGCACACCGGTTTATGTTGGGGCACAGAGGGATTGCATCAACATTAGCTACGTGCACACAGAGGGGGACGACTTAAGTAGTTACTGGGGCGCAAGCACACATGCACCGATCATGTCCCTGATCCACTGGGCACGATTTGTATATAAACACAATGGTAAGTTCAGCAAGTTTTAATAAATTGTCCCCTTCATCTCTCTCCATTTCCTCTTTGGGAGCCTCTCGAGCTGCACGGGGAATAATTCAGATCTGTAGCAAACAGCCCCCGAACTTGTAAAAAGCCCCCAGCCCGTCTGCCACCAGGGACAGCTGGCTGACCGCCTCACTAGTGACAGGAATCAGCTGGCCCAAACCCCTTGAGAGGAGACGCTTCTCATATGCGCACGCGCAGCCCGTGAGCTCCTGGAGGCTGCCCCTTAAAGCTCACAGCGAGCATGCGCGTCGGAGTAAATTGAGACGCCTCCAACTCCCTTCTTGAGCGTTCCCTGGATTCTCCACCAGCCTCCTTTCTTGTGCGCGTGCGCATCCTGGACAGCTGGAGCGCGCAGTCGCTATCGGCGCCACTTTCTCCTTCCCCCCCCCCTCAGCTCTTTGAGTCCCTGGTATGGTGCGCGCGCGGGACCGTTTCCACCCTCACGTGACATGGAGGCGGAGAAAGGAAGGGAAAGGTCAGTGGCGACGTCGGCGGAGCGGAAGGTCAGGGCGGGAGCGGAAGTGGGAGCCGGAGCCTGTCCGCCATTGTGGGGAAGCAGCGCTGCGTCCGGCCGGCTCCTTCCAGCGGGAACCCGATCGGCGGCGGCGAGCCCGGGCGGCAGCGGCGGCGACAATCAAGCGGCAGCGGGGAGAGCGGCGCGGTCCGTGTGTGCGGGAGTCACTCGAGGCCCAGGCGGAACGAGGGGATCGCGGCTCCCCGTGAAGAATGTCAGCCACTAGCGTCGACCAGGTACGGGCCGCCGCGGCCTGGGCGCAGGGCGGGAGGAGGAGGCGCCCCAGGCGGAAGGGCCTGCGCGGCCAGGCGGGTCGGAATCCCGCCGGGCCCTTTCCGCCGTCGGGCGGCCAGCGCGGCTTCCCGGGCCTCATCCTCGCGCTCAGCATCGTGGGATCCTCACCTCGATCCAGGCAGCCGCAGCCCCCTATTTATAGCCGCATCTGAGCCGCGCCAGTTTCCCTCCCCCGCTCCGAGCCTCCTTGCACCACCACCACCTCCTCCGTCCCAGGGCTTCTGCTTCCCAACATCTTGTCTTTTGATGCGTCCTTCTTCATTCCTCCTCCTCTGGGCCGCTGATTCCCCTTTATCCCTCTCTCTGGACCCACGTCCTCTTTAGGAGTCTGTCTTCCCCCAATTTCCCCAACGGTTCTTTGGATCTGGGGCTCTGCTACCCCCTTCTTGGGGTCACAGTTGAGCCTTTTCTTCCCTTGTTCACCGAAGACGCCCTTCGGGTCTGTGGTGCTGCCTCTTTTCCCTTCTCCTGTCCTTAGTCCTCTTTTATTCTTTCTTTCTGGGCCTCTGACTTCTCCTCTTTCTCAAAGTTCTCTCTTGCATGACCTCCTCTTCCCCATATGCCCCCTCTCCCTGGGTTTGTGCTTCCTTGTCTTCCACTCTTCCCTGCCCTGGGCCTCAGTTGTCTCCTTCTCTACCTATTCACCTGGCCTCTGTTACATCCTTACCTCTTGACCCCCTATTCCCTCTAGGCCTTTGCCTCCTTCTTGGGCCTCTGCCACTCCCCAAAATGTTCTGCCCCTGCCGCCTCCTCTCCCCTCTCAAATCCTGTCTGTGCCTCTTAGCATCTGTACTGTATACTGTACGTGCTCCATAATTCCTCTACCTGTGTGGGCTGCCATACTGCTTCTTAGCGGTGTATTTTCTATGCTCTTCATTCGTATTTGCAAGTGCCTTCTCTTTCTTTCATCCCATTCTTTTTGTGGGTCACATATAAAAAGTGTCTCATGAGCTACACGTACATTTTGGTCCATTCTTCCATAACAGTAGTGCCCATCTGTCAGTTTAAAAGGTCACATGCTGTAAACAAGTTTCTGTATTTGCAATAGCCGTAGCCTACTAAAAGGAAAGATGTTCTTAACATTTTATTTTACTTTTATTTAATGGTTTTCACTCACCTTGGACAATCTGAAAAAACAGAAACAATTTACCTTGCAGATTCAGTGTTGCAGCTGTTAGGTTTCAAACACTGCAAAGGAGTGTTTTTGATTAAAAATAACTGGTTTTCACTAGAGCTTCTTGGGCGTGGAGACATTTCTACTTGTTTTAGATTTTATTAAAATCTGTTTTTACCGTATTTTAAGTTTTGGGTGTAATTTAAGTTGGCTTACTTTAAATGATAAAATCAGCAAACATAAACCATCATGAATGGAAAATTCAAGGATTTTAGTTTTTGCTAATTTCCCTATTAATATTTTCCCCCTTTTTTTTTTTTTACCTTTTTATATACAGAGACCTAAAGGACAGGGAAATAAAGGTAAGATGATTCCTTTATTTATAATGTCTGAGGCCCTGATCCTGTAATATATGGGAAAAGATGTCCTCAACCAATTATATAAAGTTAATGTAACTACAAGATATTCTAAAAACACATCTTATCCAAGGTTGGCAATTTCCTTGGAAAAACTAATTTACGACAGGATGTTGGTAAATACCAGCTTAACCCTGGTTTAGACCAGGAAATTGGGAAAAAATAATTGCTTCAGTGGCCAGCAAGTGGAGAATGAATTTTTTCAAACTTTAGATACATCCATTCAAAACTGAGGGATAGGTTTGGTCTGTCCACTACATCAAAGTTGGTCCTGTGCTACAGAATGTTGCATGGCCAAATGGATCTGGACTGCTAGTCTGAAACTCTGCATGCTTCTGATTGCTTAATGCTTCACACTGCAGTATTGTCGTTTTTCATATAATCAAATGTTTTGGACTTTTGTTTATGTAATATTGAAAACTGAAATGTGAGTAATGACTTGCTTGAGAAAATACCAAATCAGACATTCTAATGTTCACAGTTATACTGGCATATATTAGTATTATGCTTACTGCAGTTTGACTTTTTATTTGTATGACTCTAAATTAATCTCCAAATCTACTGCTTTATGTAATCACAGTTTGAAAATGTAACTAAAACTAAGTATATTGTGGTGCCTATTAAAGAAGCAGTTTTAAAAATAGATAATACCTTATACTGGCACTAACTAGCTTTTCCTGGGACAGTAAAAACCACCTCTGGTAAATTACATGCCACCCTGATTTATCACACCAGCATGACTAGAAGTGGTGTGCTGAGCGTATTTTTCCAGTATTTTTAACATGATACATCACTGTAAAAATGCTTGAATATGCTTATCAAAGTAATAGTCATGAGTAATCAAGGGATAAGATGTAGTTCTTTTCATTTAGCTATCTTTCAGTGAAAATGTTGGAATGATGTCCTTGAGTATACCGTAGGCATTTACACCAACCCTATTCATTGTTACTTATTAATGTCTAATGAGGGTCATTTGATCTAAAGAACAATGATCATGTGTGTTCATTTAGTTTCTTACTCCTACTCATGAACAGAACACATCACCACTTCTATTCTGAGAAATCTTCACTGGTATCTTGTTCATTTCAGAATCCAGTACAGAGTATTCCTTCTAGCAGTTATCCAGATTCTGTCTTCACTTCTTCCCTCTATCTGTTAGCAACTTACTTATGCTCTTTAAATTCCATACTCTCTTAGCTTATCCTCCCCCCACAAAAACTCTACTCACTTTCCTTAACACTCCTCCTGCTAAAAGTACCTGGAAAAGCCTGTGCCTAAATGATTGTGAGTTTTCAGATCATATTTTATTATCTGAAACTTCTCTCGGTCCTGCAATTTATAATCTTTTGTTTAATACAGTAATCAGATTTTATTCTGTGACACCCTCCCCCCCCATCTCCTCCCAGTTTTCTCATGTTTGTTTGTTTTCCTGGGAAATCAGCAGTTGTATTACATTAATAACACACACACAGAATGCAATCTGTGGTAGATCAAATCTGCATTCTCACTGATATCTTCATGCATAGTGTAAGAAACATCTCTGATGGATGATACTCAGATTTTTTATAGCAGTAAAATATTCTGTCATTTAACTATGAACATTATATTCTTTGTAAAGTGTTTGCTTGAAAACGATACCATCAAATTCATAATCATTTTTTAAAATGCTGTATTTATTGCCATATTTATTACTAAAAATCATCCAACAGAAAGGTTTCACCATTTGTGTATAGGCTCTGTCCCCAGCCAATATTAACCTTACCTGCAGTTTCATCAACACAGCTCCTTATAGGTGCCTCCCAAATCTACCTTCCCAACTTTGACCTCTCAAAGTGTTCCATGGTAACCTCAGTCTTTGTGGTGAAACACTGAATGAACTTTACCTCCTAAATACTCTCTCCTTGGCTGTCAAAGCCCTGCACAACTCCATTCCTTCCTCCATTTCTGTTCTCTCATGTCTTATTCTTTTGACACTCATTGCACTCTTTTCAAGCCTGGCTTTTAACCACCTGCTTTTTTCCTTTTCTACTCTTGTCTTCCTGTTACCCCTGTGCATGGCACTGCCTCTTGTTCTTTTATGCCTAGAGGTCTCTACCTTCAACTTTTTCCTTAAACTACACTGTTTCTAAGCTATTTAAAGGTGATCTCACAGAGATCTGCACCAATTTGATTTTCATCCAGTATTTTGCTTGATCTGTATTGTCTGTACTTGAATTAGAATTTAAACATTTTGATGCATGGATTGCATGTAATTATTTAATGATGAAAATAGCCTAGTGAATTTTACTTTGATTTATGTGCACTAGCATAATTTTGTGATAGGTGCATTATGAACACTGCATAGTCTTAGGTTTTACTTAAGAGCTTTATCTGGATTCTTTTTCCAAAACATGAATGTTGGGCCTAAACTACTGGATCTAGACTATTTTAGATTGCATCCTGTTTAAATACTTTGTTAACTGTGTATAACTAGATGCTAGTGAAAATGGTTTATTTGTATTACCGACCTACGGCACTAGGCACTGTGCAAACGTATAGTAAAAGACAATCCTTGCCCTAAATAGCTCAGTTTAATAAGACAAGATATGACATGATAAAGGGAATGGGGAAGGAGGATGAAGGGAACAGTGATAGGAGTGCTTGGTTACATAGACTAGTTAATATACACAATTAGATGGTTTTGAGTCATTCAGAGACTTTACTTATTTTATGTGTATAAATAAAGTAAATATTGGTAGTCCCTACTTGGCTATACATTAACAGTTGGTAATCTGCAGGGGTCATGATAGGGTTCCTGTTTGAAGTGGTCTTTGAGGCAGGATAGAGTAGTGAGCTGACAGACTAGTTTGGGGAATATATATGTTTCCATACATGGAAGAAAATGGGGGGGGAAAAAGGGTAGTTGTGGGTGGCATCTTTGGCAGACGGGAAGGAAGTATGCAGTAAGGTATAAGTGGATAAGTAGGAACAGTAGTAAGATATTGTATGAGAGCAGTTAACATTGAAAATGTAAAATACCTTAAACAATATTGTTAAAGTAACTAAATTATGTGGTCTTGTGAGACTTCTTTTCCGACATGTTACTGACAATTAATTATAAATTGAGGGAACACAGACACTATGGAAACCAAAAGTAGAGATCCAGAGTAGTAATATATAATATATAATTCGGGGTTTATGTGAAAGAGCCAAGAGCTTGTGTTGCTGCAAGAATTGAATGAATAATATACGTTTCTCTGAAGGTTTTGTCTGTTACAACTGTCAACTCTTAGACATTACTAAGAGAGCTTTTGGTTGGAATAGGCTTGGACCTATAAAAAGGAGCATTTTCTTATGAAAGTGTTTGATTATTAAGTTTCCCAAAACACTTACATCAAAACATGCAGATTGAGAAGTATTAGAATTACAAGACATGCAGATGTTAGTACTTTCCTATCATCTTCCACTGTATTATGTTTTCTTACCTGAAATCAAACTGTTAAATTTAACTGTGAGGTCTCCAGCTAGAATGAAGCATAGGAATGGCAGCTTAATAGGCTGTTTTATTGAGTATTTTGCACACTAGTCAAGAAAAATCAGCTTCACTCTTTGAATGCTGTGACTGGGGGCCAGCTGAGGTCACTCAATTAGGGTGAACTGCAAAGAATGGGGCAGACAATCCCCATAAAGCTCATGGATATTCCAATACTTACATTTACCAAGCCAACATAAAACAGCTTCTTCATTACCTTACTGTTACTCAGAAGTCCGAACAACACAGTTCCCTTAAAGTGATCCAGCCTCAGGCCTCCGTCCAGGTGCCTAAGTCAAATATGGTGATTTCTGAAAGTGTTATTTCATCATATAAAAGAAAAGGTTCTACCAAACACAAAGGGTTGGACACATTACCTCCCAGTTTAATGACTGTTTCAGATCTTACCCAAATACACACTACAGCCGATTCTTATTAACTAAACTAAAATTTATTAAAAAACAAGAGAGAGAATGGGTACAAGATCAATGTACATACAGACGTGAGTTCATTTCATTGAGGTTTAGATTCATAGCAGAGATGATGAGCTTTATAGTTGCAAAGAGTTCCTTTAGAATTCAGTTCAAAGGTTATAGTCCAATGTCCAAATCTCCTATTCAGGGCGTACCAGCATAACTGGGACCTCAGTCTTGTGGCTCAGACTTCCCCTGATGAAGCTTAAGCAGATCTGAGATGACAAAATCAGGACCCAAGGAATTTTTATACAATTGCATGTCCTCTTTGACAAGTTGGGAGTTCCTCCAGGAACAAAAAGTAATTAGGATGACTTTGAATGAAGTCCATCACTGGTACTTTGCTACAGAATTAACATAAGGCAATTTGCTTGTTCCTCCACCTTTCACAGATTATTTGCTATACCTTTCAGAGGGAGATGCATATAGAGATATCGAGTGTTTACAATTCATTTTAATGCTAGGATGTTCTTTTTGATTTCTGGCTACCACTCTGCAACTTGAATTATCAGAATACAGCATAGACAGGGACGGTTGATTACATTGTCAGCCCTACTCATACATATGTAAATACACAAAAACACAAACATTATCTCCCCACATGTCTCTTGAGGGTTGTTTATTTTGCAGGATGTTTAACCCTTTCTAGCCATTCATCACAAATGCAAATTTCATTCTTACATTTTTCTGTCCATCACTTGTGAAAAAGGACACGTGAATATTTTGCTACAAATTTTCATTCAATGCAAAATGATAGTAAAGAGAATATACTGTAAATTTGATTAGTCAGTAGATTGACTAATTATTTACAGAAGTAGACAACAGAATTTTATTTTCAGGGTAACATTAAGGTAATGGCGCTTTTGGGAATTGTTGGTTAATTACCAGTTAATATTTTAAGCAAGGTGAAAGTGAAGTAGGCTCTGTTTGAAAAGTACTGACTAAATGTGTGGTGCTGTATTATGTTGTGTGTTTTTTTTTTTTTTTTTTTAAAATAATAAGCAAGTTCAAGTTAAAGCAAAAAGCCTAAATAAAACATTTTCAGGGCTGGAATTCTTCATCACTAGGAAATTGACAGTGTGGCAATCCAGAACTATTTGGTCTCATTGTGGTTTAGATTATAGATACCAACAGTAAGAAGGCAACCACTTTTTTAAAAATAAATCTGAGCTAGGAATTAATGATTGGCCAAATCTGTTTTCAGTGGTTTGATTTATCCTTAATACCTCTGAAACCAGTAAATGTCCTTTCTGTACATTCAGATGTTATGCAGATGTTATAAGTGAATTACATGTAATAGAAGGATTCTGCTCTGGAGATGTGACACATCTAATTTCTCCAACTATTTTTATAGTATGTTTTTTGAGGAATTTGTTTCTCAGTATACTTTGTTTCTTTATAAAGATTGTACCTGAAAATTGTTGTGCCTTCCATACCATTTAGCTAGGATCAGGCAATGAACCCTTCCTTCTAAATGACATCAGCAAGACTTGTGGAGTACTATCCCTGTGTGTCAGCTGAACACAAGAAGGAATGAACTCTTTAGGTTATCGAAATGTTCTCATTGTCTACAGACTTGGTTTAATCGGGAGTATGTCTATTTTAGATTTTTTGTTAGCTCATGATTCAAGCCATCTATTTTTGGGAAAATTCTTTTAAATATTTGTTTTGCTTAAGGTTAATTTTTAAACTTAAATATTTCTACATTAGATAACTTGTTCTTCACTTATCGCCTCCCATTTGTAACGGTCATAAATATTTGGCTGCTGTATCATAATATGTCTTTATAAACCATTATAGCATCAGGGGTTTTGATGTTGACTCCCTTGATTGTTGAAGAAATACAAGAGACAAACTTGTTAACTTTTTATTTTGTAACTAGTGAAGATGTGCTCAGTGTTATTGCTGAAGCCCTGTTGTAGGATATGAATTGTCAGTTCCTTTTGGAACTGTTAGAGTAGTTTGTTTTTGCTATATATTTTTCAGAACCGTAGCTATTGTTAAATTACTCCTGCTTCTTAGTCATCGTAGTTCAACTGACAGTATAGTTATTTGTCCCCAAGATGAGTCTCTTTAGGGCTTTACTTACATAAAAACTATGAAAACTTTGCAAAATTATTGGGCACAGGCACCAACTAGTTTGCAGGCTTAAACTTCGTAGCTTTCACTAAACATTAGTTGTAAATCCTCAGCTTTATTAGTTTCGTGGCTGTATATGCTCTTCAGAAGCTTTTGCCAAAAAGGGGGAAATCATGGAAAACAGCTCTCCTTTCTGACTACAACTTGACAAAAATTCCTTTCTTTATGCTTGGAACTTCCTCTTCCATAGTGTACCACATGACAGCCTTAAAACACCTTTCTTTCACTAAGTCTATCAATGGTAGATAATTATAGAAATAATTGCTTTTAGGAAAGCACCCACACAGCTTTGAGACTGGTCAGTTATCTGTTGTAATATTGTCCGGCTTGTCTAATTTAGGTCCATATTCTGTTTGCATGGAGCTCAACCAAAGCTGTGTCAAGACAATTTGAATCTGCTTGGAAAGTGGTATTGGTATCGTGAAGAGGGATACTTGCTCCACTTCCCATCCACTTGAGAGTGACTGTGTTATATGTTAGGTAGCCTCCGTACCCTATCTGGGGAATGGGATGTAACTCTAGCCTTGGGTATAACATTGGAGAAGTGTTGTGCGTAAATATCGTGCTTTGGTGTTGTGAAGCAAGCAGATATGCTATATAATGCAGCTGTGGAGTGTCATGGAAAGTCTGCCCACCTTTCACATGGAAATCCCAAGTGATAGCTTGAAAAAGAAAGAGCAAAGAAAGTATTAGGCTCTAGACTTGTCTCCCATTGGAAGTGGTGGAAACTTCATAATATTTGTTGTTTCTAAATAAAATACTAAAAAAATTAGAACAATCTGGAATTTGTGAGGGAGAGACTGGTGATATTGTAGTCGTGTGTTTCACCCTTCTGATTCTAGGGTATCCCAGAGGAAAGAGGAGAAAGGTATCCCAATTGGTAGCAGGAAGTGTGGGGGGAGGGAGGGTAACATCACTTCAGGGACTCAACTCCTGCTTCTTTCTCCTCTCTCGTTGCAAGTGTTACTACAAGGTTGCAGGGGATAGAGGAGTAGGAGCCAAAGGGGGTGGGTAAGAAGCTCATTTGCATGAATTTCCCATCCGCCTGTTGAGCCACTCACTTTGCACTGGTTCCAAGCTGTTGATGGCTGGGAGGAACTGGGAAATGTATTCATTCCTCCGAAATAGTCGTGTGTTTCCCTACAGGATTTTGCCCTTAGATTGTGAACTTCTTGAGGTCATGGAACTTGCCTTCCTATGCCTTTGTATAATGTATAGCATAATGAGTACTCAGTAAACATAGTTTTTAAAACTGTTATACAAACTTGGTATGGCAAATTTCCTCTTGCAGTGAAAGTAACATAGCTATATTAATAAACTCAGATTTCTCAAAACAAAAAAAAAAGTGGAAATAGCACTATGACCATAGTAGTATAAATGGGAAGCTCTGAGAAACAGGACATTTCAACAGTTAAGCAATTTAGTAGTGTTATAGACTGAGCTGTGACACGGTAGTTTGGTTTGTTCTTCATTGTACAGGTTTTCTGCAGATGACAATGCTGAATTTATTTGTTTGATTTTTTTCCCCCTTATGACTGCAGGAAAAATGGTTTTGCTCTGACACAGTCCTGCACTGTGAAATTATGCCAAGTGAGTGTGTCTGCAGGTTCTTTATCACAGAAAAAAGTGAATTGTAAACCATCAGACCTCTGTCATTCATGAAACATAAGTTTTCCTTTTCTAACAAGTATTTGTAAAGCTTGAGCTGAGCTGTAAAACACTGTTGTTTCTTCATTGGATTACTTTCTAACAACAACTGTCATCTAAGCACTCATTAAAATTGATGCAACAATGCAGAGTAGGATTAAATAGAAGAGAACCTGTCTGCCTGATTACTTGTAACAAGTACTTTATAACATATATAGTTGTTTAATGAAATGATTATCTTGAAATTTTACAAGCGAAGCTTATTTGCAGTGCTTTTGTGAAGACTGTATGTATTTATCTGTCATCAAAATTTGTTACCTCATTTGATTCAATAGCCTAGGCTTTAGATGGTGGTCTCTCACAAGGAGAAATATAATGTACTGGCTTTTAAACACTTATGAGATCTCAAATGTGACAAAGTCCTGGTAATTGAATCAATACAAGATGTTCTGTTTCTCAGAAGAACCCAGGAGAATAGGCAGTTCACCATACATATGACAATTTAGTAGTTAAGACTGAACTGGTTTTTGTTTTGAATTAAAATTACAACACAATAATTCTAAAAGAGTGCCTAATACAAGCTCGCTTTTCAGTTTCAGTACAAAACGGTTCGATTCATCAAAAGGATGCAGTAAATGATGATGACTTTGAGCCATATCTAAGTAGCCAGACAAATCAGGTGAGCATTCGTTGCTATTTTGACGTATATTCAGAATTTAATTGTCTAGCTAAGATTTCCTTATCTTACACCAAACTAAGAAAGTTTACTATGTATCTGCTTGCATATTTGAAATATAACTTAATGCTTAGCATGTAATGGGTCTACATGTCCTCTTTTTAATAGTAACATTCTTGTGACACTTCAAGTAAAGGATGGAATTAAGTTTAATCAGTTCTATATGTATGCATTCTAGAATCAGAATTATACTTTCAAAGGACTTTTTTGCCTTCTAACTTTAAGTGAGTTCAGTATACCCCTGCTATATCGTGAGACAATAGTTCCTGGGTTCCTATGTAGTAGTAATTGTATACACATGATTTCCACAGAAGTCAACGGGAGTTGTTAATACATGATTGATAGCATAATCCATTCCCCTGAAGTTTAATATTGCCTGTTGTGTAAGTTTTCTGCCAGTAAATGGATGACTTCACTTTCTGAAGCTGTGGATCCTCCATCTTTCATAATACTAAATTCAGTTTTTATTAAAACATTTAATTCAATAATTAAGATAAACCTGAAAGTTCTAGGATACTCTTTTTGGAAGAGAGGAGGGAATGAAGGTGATTGTAATGGCTTTGGGGATTTTCCTTGCCTGCCCATCTGCTTTGATGTTCTAACACTGGGCTGTCTTCTGTGGGAGGAAGATGGGAAGTGCCATCTTTGCAAACCAATCAGTGTCACTTGAGTCATCTGCAGGGAATCTTTAAAGTGACTTGAGCTATACCTTTCAAAGGGCTGAATGCTTTGCTTCCTGAGAACCTTTATTCCATAAGCCCTGGGCTCTAGGAGTGAACACAGTATGCAAATTCTGCATTACTTCTCTAGACCATTGAATTGAATCATATGTTTGATGTTATCCACTCTTAAATACTGTGGGGCTGTTTTTATGAGATACATGAGTAGTTTTTATAATCTCTTATCCTGCTGTCCTCCCATGAAGCACTGAAAATACTTTCATTTTAATAGTAATGAGAACCTCGGCAAGAAACAAATATAAGAAAACTGCAGTCATATATTTACAAATTATGTTGTCTTATTTACTAATTTCTTGAGCTACTTTTTATTTTAAAAATACCTTAGTTTAGTCCCTTTGCTGTTAAGAATGAATTTGATTTGGTGGTATAATGGCATGCTCAGGTTTGAACTTTTTAAATTTAGATGGTATACATAATGTAGATGTTTACTGAAAATACCCTTCTGTTTCTGTTTAGTTATAGCTAGCATAATTCTAATTCTAAGGATTGGATAAGGCCCTTGTTTGAAACTTATTTTCTAAAACACAGTAAACTTAATTATTTTAAGCGTTTCTAATTTTTTTTTAAGTGCAGCAACACATGACTAGGCCTTGGAATGTCCAATATTTGGATTCATGTTGGAATTCACACCTTGTCATAATTTATTGCTTTCTGTTAAATGTGTTACTTAAAGTGTTGGTAAAACACTGAATATTCTGAGATCTCTTTTGCTACCAGTTGGATTTTAGGAAAAATGTTAAATGGTTTCACGTGTATCTAAGTAATATATAATACTGAGAATGGGTTTGTATTTGAAGAAAGAGCTGCTTATAACAAATACAATTCGCAAAACTCACATCTTGTTACATTAGTTGTATGTACTTATGTTATAATAGTCTCTCAGCAATTGCATGTAGCATTTCCATCTCTACTGAAGTTCTACTTCATGTTAGTTGAATAGATTCTTCTTCACGCTTGAGTATCTTTAATCTTGCTTAATATATTAAGCACTACATTTCTAAAGTTCTTTATCAGTCTATAGCTAGGTATGGCAGAATTCAGTTTTGTTTTTTTCAAATTGACAGATACCAGTGTGTTTTTGTTTTGTTTTTTTTTAAGCATTTTTTTTTAGATATGGGATATTATTGGGAGGGTCAGACCCTGGTAGGATCATACTATTTAATGACACTAGATGTTGAGATTCAAAAGGTTAAAACATAATAACCATTAAAACAAACACTGTCAACATCACATGTCAAAATATATAAATATCCTTAAATCAAACTCTTAAGTTCTCAAGCAGCATTTTTTTCTTTGCTTATTTGTAAATTTCTGTTATCAAAAGGATTTTTTTTGTTGACTTGTATATACACAGTGAAATCAGTGCTTACCGACATTTACCAATAAAAAAATCTCATCCTTCCATACCTATTTATAATTAAAGGTTAACATCAACATACCCATGGTAGCCTTTAGGATGACATTTAATACTCTGGTTGATATTATGTACAGTAGAACCTCAGAGTTTTGAACATCAGAGTTATGAACCGACTGGTCAACCACCTCATTTGGAAATGGAAGTACGCAATCTGGCAGCAACAGAGACGGGGGAAAAAAAGCAAATACAGTACAGTACTGGGTTAAACGTAAAGTACTAAAAAAATGAAAAGTTTAAAAAATGATTGGACAAGGTACAGAAACTGTACTTTTTTCATTTAAATTAAGATTAAAAGCAGCATTTTTCTTCTGTATATTAAAGCTTCAAAGCTATATTAAGTCAATGTTCAGTTGTAAACGTTTGTAAGAACAACTATGATGTTTTGTTCAGAGTTATGAACAACCTCCATTTCTGAGAGGTGTTCATAACTCTGAGGTTTTACTGTATGCGGTTTTTTACTAGAGGAAAAGGTGGATTTACACTAAAATCAACTTTGAAAAAAGAGACTTGATACGTGTGGAGCTCAAGGGCTTCGATATTCTCAGATAAAAATGTGTTTTGAGATTTCTGTAGCCTTAAAGGAAAAGTAAAAGGGAATGCTGTAAACAGAGCATCAACATTTGTTGTCTGATGCCTGCCATTTTCTCTTGAATTATGTTGATGATGGAAAGTTCCACTGCTGATTTTACTTTATTTTCTTGCAGAGTAACAGCTATCCACCAATGTCAGACCCATACATGCCTAGTTATTATGCTCCATCCATTGGATTTCCATATTCTCTAAGTGAAGCAGCATGGTCCACTGCAGGTGACCCTCCAATGCCATACTTGACAACCTATGGACAGATGAGCAATGGTGAACATCACTATATACCTGATGGTGTGTTTAGTCAACCTGGGGCTTTGGGAAATACCCCTCCATTCCTTGGTCAGCATGGATTTAATTTTTTTCCTGGGAATGCAGATTTCTCTACATGGGGGACAAGTGGATCTCAGGGACAATCAACACAAAGCTCTGCTTATAGCAGCAGCTATGGCTATCCACCTAGCTCTCTTGGTAGAGCCATAGCAGATGGACAGGCTGGATTTGGCAATGATACTCTGAGCAAGGTGCCTGGGATTAGCAGCATTGAGCAAGGCATGACGGGACTGAAAATTGGTGGGGATATGACAGCTGCTGTGACAAAAACTGTAGGTTCAGCTCTGAGCAGTACAGGTATGACCAGCATTGCAGCAAATAGTGTGCCCCCAGTTAGCAGTTCAGCACCTAAACCAACCTCATGGGCTGCCATTGCTAGGAAGCCTGCTAAACCTCAGCCGAAACTCAAGCCTAAGGGTAATGTGGGAATTGGGGGCCCTGCTGTACCACCACCTCCTATAAAACACAACATGAACATTGGAACTTGGGATGACAAAGGGTCGGTGGTAAAAGCACCCCCTTCCCAGCCAATACTGCCTCCTCAGACTATAATACAGCAGCCTCAGCCATTAATTCAACCACCACCATTGGTGCAAAGCCAACTGCCTCAACAGCAGTCTCAGCCACCACAACCACAGCAGCAACAAGGACCTCAGCAGCAGGCCCAGCCTCACCAGTTGCAGCAGCAACAGCAGCTGCAAAACCGCTGGGTAGCTCCTCGTAACAGGGGCGTGGGCTTCAGCCAGAACAATGGAGGAGCTGGCAGCGAAAACTTTGGCTTAGGTGTTGTACCTGTCAGCTCTTCACCTGGTATAGAGGTGCACCCAGTACTGGAGAAACTAAAGGCCATAAACAACTATAATCCCAAAGACTTTGATTGGAATCTGAAGAATGGACGTGTGTTTATAATCAAAAGCTATTCGGAGGACGATATACACCGCTCCATTAAATACTCTATCTGGTGTAGTACTGAACATGGTAATAAACGCTTGGATGCTGCTTACCGTTCCCTGAATGGAAAAGGTCCACTCTATTTACTCTTCAGTGTGAATGGCAGTGGACATTTTTGTGGAGTGGCTGAGATGAAGTCTGTTGTGGACTACAATGCATATGCTGGAGTCTGGTCTCAGGATAAGTGGAAGGGGAAGTTTGATGTTAAGTGGATCTTTGTCAAAGACGTTCCCAATAACCAGCTGCGGCACATTCGTTTGGAAAACAATGACAACAAACCGGTTACCAATTCGAGGGACACTCAAGAGGTACCCCTAGAAAAAGCTAAGCAAGTGCTTAAAATAATTGCTACTTTCAAGCATACCACCTCAATCTTTGATGACTTTGCACACTATGAAAAGCGTCAGGAGGAGGAGGAAGCCATGCGTAGGGTAAGAATCCAATATCATATAGTAATTTTTCCTGTAGTTTCTTTGTGATTTTTTTTTTAAAGCTAGTTATTTCTTACAACTCAGTGTGCAGTATACATTGAAACAGAAAGTAATGCTACTTTGTCCGAAGCTGGTTATAGTTCTTTGGTAGTTGATGTAACTGGCTCCTACTATTTAGATTGTTTTAATTCTTGTGGCTAAACCAAAATTATTTGTGGATTAACATGAACAGAACAATTCTAACCTAAGTTTATGTGTAAGAAGATGTTTAAAATGTTTTACTTATTGTTACAAAGTGAAAAAAACTTTCAGTGTAATATAACATTCCTAATGGAGTCTCATTTTTAGTGCAATGTTAACGATTTTTTGACAACTCTTAGTGCCTTATTGAAATTAGATGTGCCACAATCAATTTAGGTCATTGAATTACAAGGAAAATAAAGGTATTGAATTCTGTAACAGATAATTCTCAAGTAAAATATGATTTATTTATTTTTTTTTAAATCAAGGTTCTAACAGAATACTAATCTGAAAATTTGTGCTTAGGTCAGTTTGTGTTGTCTGTCTTAAATTTTTAAAAATTTTAAAAAGTAAGCAGCACAGTGATCACCTTTACAGTGTTAGAAATAGTGGCTATTTAATAGTAATGTTGTCTCAAATATATCAACTTATCATAGAATACCAGAGTTGGAAGGGACCTCAGGAGGTCATCTAGTCCAACCCCCTGCTCAAAGCAGGACCAATCCCCAATTTTTGCCCCAGATCCCAAATGGCCCCCTCAAGGACTGAACTCATAACCCTGGGTATAGCAGGCCAATGCTTGTGTTGTCTGTAGAAGAAATATGTGCCTGCAGCAATATAATTTCATTGGGGAAAATTTCTAAAAATTGTGCTTTTATTCATGGTGTCAGAATTTCAGAAAATTTACTTGAAAAATATTAAATATAAATTTTCCTCTTAAAGTTGCTTTATGGTGTTCACCTGCTTTTGTCTTTCCTGTCTTTCCTCCCTCCCACCCCCTTTGCCCTACTAGGTATTTCTGTTTTTGCATTTTTAGGAAAGATTCTTTCCCTTGCATTGATTTTTTTTATTTTATTTTGTTTTTGTTTTTTTTAAATTTACTGCTGGTCCTCGCAGTCCAGTTGTGCTAGACTTATTTTCCTCTGTCAAAGCTGAGTAGTAGTTGGATTTATGGAAGGTTCATTTGATGGCTTGAAAAATTTACCAGATCTACTAGTCAGAATACTACTACAAGCCTGTTAGCTCATGTGCTCAGATATTGCAGGGATGGGTGCAAGAATCTGGAAAGACTGTGAAGAGCCTGCATCAGTGAAGTCTGGGGACTTTGCTCTGGTTTGAAGCCTTAACTCTTTTTGCCACCACGAGCTGCTCGGTAAAATGAGGGTCCTGGAATTTATACCAAGGTATTCTCTGCACCTTGCTCAAGGGGCTCAGTCTTTTGTATCTGTCCCTGGCTACTAGGAGTTCTTGATGCATCACCTCATACTGGCTGCCTAGTACTCTTATCTTTTTGTCCACTTCAAGGGCTTCCTGGTAGCTGTGAAGGAGGATTTTCATTTAAATATGAAATTAATACCTCTACCTTCCCCTCTTCAGTGGCCTCCAAGCTGCTGTCAGAAGGGGGCCTCTACTACATGTGCTTTCTACCTAACCTCTGTTCTGTCTTCCTCTCTGGTGAATAGTACAATTGTTTGTTTCTTTTGCTACTGCTTTATCCATCAGGTTCATCTTGAAATTGGCATGATTCTTGACAGTTCCAGTGCTACCCATATGTTTCTGAAATAGCAGTAGTCCAACTGTTGTCTTGTTAATTTCACTCTAGTTCTCCTTACCATAGCTGAGTGATTGCAGAGGCACTGTAATAGTGTAAAGACGCACACAAAATTGTATTGACTTATATGAATGTAATGTTTGGAACTATTATTTTACACCAAGAAGAGTACAAACTATTTTTTCATAATGAAAGTTTTAAACTTTAAAACACCGCTATAGTGCTTCAGTGTAGACACTATACTATGTAGAATCTCCCTCACAGGCATAGGTAATCCACCTTTTTGAGAGGCAATAGTGAGGTCGATGGAAGAATTCTTCTATTGACTTGTCACTGTCCACATTGGGTGTTAGATTAGCTTAACTACGTTGGTCAGAGGTGTGCATTTTTCACACCCCTGAGTGATGCAGCTGAGTCAACCTAACTTTTTAGTTTAGACCTGGCCTCGGTCTTAAAAAAAAATTGTTCTGGGACTGCAACTCTGCCTATAAGCAGGCCAAATAAAATGATCTGGTGGGCTGGATGCGTCTCTCTGGGTTGCCAGTTTTGGTGGGCCAGAGGTGGGTATTTTTATTTGAGATCAGTACATAGATATATTGCATGCCTCTGCAGTTGGCTGTCACTAGAAGGTGGTTTAAAGGTTGATAGAAGATAGAGAAGGTGAGACAGCCTTTAAATGTTTAATTTTTAGTGTATATTAAATTTAAAGGGGGAGAAATGCGCATTTTACTAATTCCGTGAAATTTACTTAAATGGATTATCAATTGAGATTAATACAATGAAAATTTTGTCAGATTTATATATCTGTAGACTTTATCATCTCTTTAGGGCATTCTTTTACAGTTTCTGAAAGATTTATGTTCTGTTTATCGAGGGGGGTTACCAAGTTTCTGACACATTCGGTTTGTTTTTCTTTTGGTGCCCTAATATACATTTAATTTAGGGTATGTCTACACTTGTAGAGTTTTTGCGCTGTAAGGGCTTGTCTACACCACGCAGCCTTGTCACTGAAAGTCAGTGTGTGTAAACGCTCTTTGTTGATACTTTGCCAGCACTTTTACTGACAAAATACTTCCAGCCCCGCAAGCAGCATTAGCTTTGTTGGCAGGAGAGCACACCTGCTGACAAAGCCTAGTTCACACTGTCGCTTGTGTCTGCAAAACTTTTCTTTTGCAGGAGGGCTTTTTTTAAGTACCGGTGAAAGACAAAATGTTTTGTCGACAACTTCTCGGTGTAGCCAAGCCCTAAGTTTCACAAGTGAAGCGCTGGTTTGTGTACGTACTTAATTCCTCAGGGATCAAAAAGTGTTTACATTAGTAGCACTTTGCTGTCTAGAGCAGCTATCCCACAGTGCAGCGCTCTCCCGTTTGATGATGGGTCTTGGGGCGGGGGGGCGATCCTGGGTCCCTGCACAGCTTCCTCTCCCCAAACACTGATAAGCTCCAGTAGCTCAGCATTGTTCCAGGCAGGGGATCATTTGCTCGCTGAAGCAGGCATTGTCACCTGGCCAGATAAGTGAGCACTTGCCAAGAAAACAGGAAGGGGAGTTTCAGAGTTCCCTGGGCTATAAAGGGAAAGGGTGGATGTCTGTTTACCTGGCAGCAGAGCTGCTGGCCAGAGTGGTCACCTAGGCACTGTGGGATATCCTCCAAAGGCTAAAAACTGTGTAAACAGGAAGAACATGTCTTCACTTGCACATCACCATAAATGCATCACCGGTAAGAGCTGTATGCCTCTTGTGGAGGTGGTTTTCTTTTTGAGGTGAAACTTCTGAGTTGCACTGCAACAAGTCATTGGCAAGAGTAGACGCTCCCATGGTTTTTGCACAAAAAAGGGACTTTTTCCACTTTAAATGGCAAGTGTAGACATGCCCTTATTGTATTTGCTTAAACTGATAATTTTGAGAGTTACTACTTTGTGGGAGCATTTATCAAAGGAGCTAGTAATTCAAAAACCAGTGCTTTAAGAACTGAGGAAATTAAAAAGGTGAAGAGGGCCCGGAGTTACTTCAGGAATTCTTTCCCAGCTGTGTGGTTGGTGGGTCTTGCCCACATGCTCAGGGTCTAACTGATCACCATATTTGGGGTCGGGAAGGAATTTGCCCCCAGGTCAGATTGGCAGAGACCCTGTGGGGTTTTCGTATTCCTCTACAGCACGTGGCACAGGTCACTTGCAGGTTTAAACTAGTGTAAATGGTGGATTCTCTGTAATTTGAAGTCTTGAAACCATGATTTGAGAACTTCAGTAACTCAGTCAGAGGTTAGGCATCTATTACAGGCATGGATGGGTGAGGTTCTGTGATCTGCAATGTGCGGGAGGTCAGACTAGATCGGGGTAGTCAATTATTTTTTGTGAAGGTTCAGACCCCAGAGAAAATAATAAAAATAACAATAATAAGTAAGTACAAAGATTTAGGGGTCCTTTCAAAAGCATCTGGCGGTCTGGATTTGGTCTGCGGTCTGCCTATTTACTACCCCTGAACTAGATGATCATGGTAGTCCCTTCTGACCTTAGTCCATGGGTCTTAGTTATGGTGTTGTTTTTTCACTAATTACAGAAAGAAAACCATAAAATGTAGTGGAAGAACCTTGGATTGTCAGTACGGTGATGTTATGTACTCTCTCAACTTAAAATCCAAACCACAAAGTTCTACAGTTTAATATAGACTGGATTCAGTTGTGTGATTATGCATATATTTCGTGTAATTAACATTTTCCAAGTTGTTGGCTTTAATAGGAAATATATAGTATCCATATGGCTCAAATACTGGCATATGTAATTCTAGTATGGTAAATAATTTAGTTGCATTTTCTCAGTGGTATTTCTGTGACAGGCTAACTGAGAGAAAACTAACAAAGAACTAAATATTTGTCATGGTGCTTTTATAAAAAGTGTGTAATATTTTGCATTCATTTTCACAGTCCTCTCAAAAGTGTTGGAGACATCTGACAATTTAGAAACAAGTTTAGAACTGCATAACTATCCCACTAATTCTTCATCGTACATGCATTTGAAGTATGGCTAAAATGGATTTAATGTATATTTAAAACATAGTAGGAAGTCTAATGAAAATATAACACTGGCTACCAAAAGATCCAAACTCTTGATCATTAACTTAACTGGGCAAATAGAATTTTGCCTTAAAATTGGTAGATTATTTTTTTCTTTCTATGGCATAACTTTTATTTTTTGTTTTCATCTTTCAATT